TTTCAAAAGGTTTTGTTAATTTTCAGACAATAATTAAATTTTACAGAACTAAAAATAATTTATCAAATAATTTTAGATAACATTTTTTAAATGTAATTGAATTTTCAAAGATTTATAATTGAGATATTTAAAATTAATTCAACTTCAAGTGATTTTTAATTAAAAATTTTTGATGATTTCACTAAAAAAATTTATTAGAAATTGCGGACAAAAATAGAATAATTTGAAAACCATTTCTATGAAATTAAGTTAAATTAAAATTAATTAAATTTCAAAAAAATTTCGCTGGAAAATTTTAGAAATAATTAAATTTTAGAAGCTTTTACATTCAAATTTTTGAAAATAATTGAATTATAATTGAAATTTTGGATAATAATTCAATTTTAGTTGATTTTTGATTGAAAATTTTGATAATAATTAATTTTGAATTGAAAATTTGGAAAATAATTGAATTTTAGTTGATTTTGCATTGAATTTTGGGTAATAATTGAATTTTATTTTATTTTAATTGACAATTTGGAAAATAATTGAATTTTAATTGAAATTTTGGATAATAATTAAATTTTAGTAGATTTTTGATTGAAAATTTTGATAATAATTAATTTTGAATTTAGAATTTTGAAAATAATTAAATTTTATTTGATTTTAAATTGAAATTTTAGATTATAATTGAATTTTTATTGATTTTGAATTGAAAATTTTTGAAAATAATTGAATTTTATTGGATTTTAAATTCAAATTTGGAAAATAATTGAATTTTAGTTGATTTTGAATTGAAAATTTTGAAAAGAATTGAATTTTAGTTGATTTTGAATTGAAAATTTTGAAAATAATTCAATTTTCTTTGATTTTGAATTGAAATTTTCGATAATTTTTTAAAATAATTGAATTTTAATTGAAATTTTGGATAAAAATTCAATTTTAGTTGATTTTTGATTGAAAATTTTAATAATAATTACTTTTGAATTGAAAATTTTGAAGAGAATTGAATTTTAGTTGATTTTGAATTGAAAATTTTGAAAATAATTCAATTTTCTTTGATTTTGAATTGAAATTTTCGATAATTTTTGAAAATAATTGAATTTTAATTGAAATTTTGGATAAAAATTCAATTTTAGTTGATTTTTGATTGAAAATTTTAATAATAATTAATTTTGAATTGAAAATTTTGAAAAGAATTGAATTTTAGTTGATTTTGAATTGAAAATTTTGAAAATAATTCAATTTTCTTTGATTTTGAATTGAAATTTTCGATAATTTTTGAAAATAATTGAATTTTAATTGAAATTTTGGATAAAAATTCAATTTTAGTTGATTTTTGATTGAAAATTTTAATAATAATTAATTTTGAATTGAAAATTTTGAAAAGAATTGAATTTTAGTTGATTTTGAATTGAAAATTTTGAAAATAATTAAATTTTCTTTGATTTTGAATTGAAATTTTAGATTATAATTGAATTTTTATTGATTTTGAATTGAAATTTTGGGTAAGAATTGAATTGAATTTTATTTTAAATTGAAAATTTGGAAAATAATTGAATTTTAGTTGATTTTGAATTGAAAATTTTAGTAAATTAGAATATTGTTGAAAATTATTAACAAAGTTTCAAACAGAAATTGAATTTTAGAGAATTTTTAATTAAAAAATGTTTTATTTAATTGCATTTTTGAATAATTGAAATTATTAATTAATCAAAAATTTTAAGATACAAATTTTATAAATAATTGAATTTTGCAAGAGTTCGAATTAAGATTTTTAGAAATAATTGAATTTTTGGAGATTTTTAATTAAAATTATTGTTTTAAAATACAAAATATTTTATATAAGCTAATTCCAAGTTCTATGATTTAAAAATTCGAATTACTTAAAATTCAACACTAAATGAAAATTCTAATAAATTAAAAATTACATTAAATTAGAATTCTTTTCAAGAAAGAGAAGTAAAGAGAAATTTTGTAAAATAAAAATTCTGTCAAATAAAAATTCAATGCTTTGAAAATTCCGTTGAGTTAATTCGATTAAAAATTCTCTCAAATGTTAATTTGAAAAATTCAAAAATTTATCTGCAAAAAATAATTATTTCTAATAAATTATAAATTTTCTAAAATGAAAAATTTTAGTTCATAATTTTTTTTTGGTACAATATAATGCATCCCCAATATTTGTAGATAGATATATATATATATATTTCTCTAAATTTTGTATTTATTTATAGTAAAAAAAAATGTTAAATATAGAAGGGTAGATTTTTCATCCGAGATAAATGTTGTATATGTCATAAGAAAAATAAAGAGATGTCGCCTAGTGAGGGGTTGCTGAAGTTAATCGGAGAGAGTTTGCGCATTATGCGTTGTCCTTCCTTGAACAAGGAAGGCACCCGATCCGCCGCGAAAGGGATGCTGCTTCGGGGTGAATGTTGCATCCCTTATATTTTTTTCCAATTTTCTGTGTTAAAATTATATATAAATTAAAAAAAAAAGTCACGCCATTAACAAAATTTCTTATTATTCACAAAAATAATAAATAAATTTTTCAATAATTTTCTATTTAACAAATGGCTTGAATTTTTGTCGCGCGATATATATATATATATATAAAAAAAAAAAAAAGTGAAATATATAATGATAATGATGAGAACGTGTGTTATGTTCGATGGACCACAAAATCACAGTTACACAATGGAATACGATGATAATAATAATAGTAATAATAATAATAATGATGACGATGATCAGAGACTCGTGAATTCGTGAAACACGAGGTTTGAGTGTGTGAGTGTGTGTCGATGTCGAATTTACTTTTTTCAATTGGAACTAAACCACGCGATTTACGAACTCGTGCACTTGATGTCAATCAGGGAATTCACCTCATTGATTGGTAAGGTCAGTTTTATGTTACATTTTTTTTTTTTTTTTTTTTTTTAATTTGAAAATTTTTCGTATAAAAAATTTTTACATTTTACATATGTGTATTTTTTTGGCATAATCGATACGATATTTTGTCATTATAGTATTTTAAAGAAAAAGGGTAAATGAAATATTGTGGTTTTTTTTTTTTTTTTTAATTTGAAACTGAATTCCGTGAAATTTTTCGAATAGTTTGAGATTTTTTCTGTTTTTTATTTATTTATTTATTTATGTACATTCCCCGCAGTCCAGATTTTTGGATTTTTAATTCCTTTAATTATTTTTTTTTTGAATTTGAAACTGAATTCTGTGGAATTTTTCGAGTATTTTGAGATTTTTATGTTATTTTGTTAATTGCTTTTAATTATTTTTTTTTTTAATTTAAAATTATATTCCGTAGAATTTTTCGAGTAGTTTGAAATTTTTTTTCTATTTTTTAATTCTTTTAATTATTTTTTTAATTATTTTTTTTTTAAATTTGAAACTGAATTCCGTGAAATTTTTCGATTAGTTTGAGATTTTTTCTGTTTTTTAATTCCTTTAATTATTTTTTTTTTGAATTTGAAATTAAATTCTGTGGAATTTTTCGATTATTTTGAGATTTTTATGTTATTTTGTTAATTGCTTTTAATTTTTTAATTTTTTTTATTATTTTTAAAAATTTTAAATTGTATTCCGTAGAATTTTGCGAGTAATTTGAGATTTTTTTTTTTCTATTTTTTAATTCTTTCAATTATTATTTTTTTTTTTTATTAATATTTTTAATTTGAAATTAAATTCTGTGGAATTTTTCGAGTATTTTGCGCTTTTCCAATTCCTCTAATTATTTTTTTTTAATTTGAAATTAAATTCCGTCGAATTTTTCGAGTATTGTGCAATTTTTTTCTATTTTTTTAATTCTTTTAATTATTTTATTAATTTTTTTTTTCATTATTTTTTTTTTAAATTTGAAACTGAATTCCGTGAAAATTTTCGATTAGTTTGAGTTTTTTTCCGTTTTTCTAATTCCTTTAATTATTTTTTTTGAATTTGAAACTGAATTCTGTGGAATTTTTCGAGTATTTTGAGATTTTTATGTTATTTTGTTAATTGCTTTTAATTTTTTTAATTTTTTTTATTATTTTTAAAAATTTTTAATTTTATTCCGTAGAATTTTGCGAGTAATTTGAGATTTTTTTTTCTATTTTTTAATTCTTTCAATTATTTTTATTTTATTAATATTTTTAATTTAAAACTAAATTCTGTGGAATTTTTCGAGTATTTTGCGATTTTTTAATTCTTTTAATTATTTTCTTTTAATTTGAAATTAAATTCCGTCGAATTTTTTGAGTACTTTGCGATTTTTTTCTGTTTTTTTTTTGGTTTTTTAAAATTATTTTTACTAATTTATTAATTGATAATTAATAATTAATTATAAAGTTAAAAATCCACAAAAAATTTTTTCTGTTTTTTAATTTTTTTAAAATTATTTTACTAATTTATTAATTGCTAATTGATAATTAATAATTAATAATTAATAATTAATAATTAATTAAAATTAAAAATATACAAAAAAATAGTTTTTAAAAATCCCGAATTAAAATTTCGAAAAAGTAAAATTTGAACGATTTTTTTTAAAAAAGAGAGAATTCCATAAAAATCCTAAAATAAAAATTACATATACTAATTGGATTAAAATAAAATAAAAATAATTAAAAAAAAAATTACATAAAATTATTACAATTGACAGAAGGACAAATTAAATTAACTTTGGAAGAGGTTTTTTTTAAATTAAAATAATTTTCATAAGAAATTTTTTCCTTTTTTCTTCGTTTCTTCAAATTTTTTTTTTTATTTTTATTTTTTTTATTTTTTTTTATATATAAAAGCGAAACATGTACCTTATCAGCGGAAATAATGTTTGCGCGCGATCGGCCGTTAATAATCGGATTTCAGTTTTGTAGTTGCATAATCGAAGTTACAAAATAACAAAATTTTTCCCATACATATGAAAAAAAAAATATATATATATATATTTTTTTTTCTAAATGTTATAATCTCTGTTTTAGGCAGCATTTCTTCGAAAGATGTCAATCATCAGATCGAGGAGTCAAGTCAATGCTGATGGGTCCTTCAAAATGACAACCTTGATCCATATTTGGTGACGCGGCGAATCGAATTGTCAACACGATGCCGTTGTCATTAAGAGAATTGCTACTGATCATTGTCCTTGCTCATGTGTGTCATCGTACTTCCTGGTAAGATTTTTTTTACGACAAAAAAATTAAAAACAAAAAAAAAAACATTCGAATCATTGACTTTTTGAATTTAATAAAGAAAAATGTTTTTATTAAAAGCAAGTAAATTTTATTTTAAACGTAAATGAAAATTTAAAAAAAAAAATATTTATTTACAACAAATAAAATTTATTTTTTTTTTTGCTTTTTATTTTTATTTTGCTCTGAGACAAAAATTTTATTTCTAGAAAAAATTATTTTTTTTCCTTGAAAGTAAAGAAAGAATTTTCTTTTTTTTTTTGGTAAAATTTGTTTCGAATAAAAGAACAGCAATTTAATGTGTAATTTCAATCAATTTTCTATACTTGAATTCAAATTGAGCATATATTAGACTTCTATTTTTTAATTTATTTTTTTCTTGTACTCGGTTAAATTTAGGTCAGAGTAGTTTTTGGGAAAATTGAAATTATTTTTAATCTAAAATCTTTAGTAATTTATTTATTTATTTAAAAAAAAAAGTATATATTGTTAACAGCAGTGGGAAAATTTGATTATAACAAAATTTCATACAGTTTTATTAAGTATAAATATATGACTTCAAAAGTTTCGACTACTTAAAAGTCGTGTCTGACTAAAATCATTTCGATCTACTTAAAATCTTTTATATTCGGAAAAAAAAGAAATTTTTTTCCCTTTTTAAGAGACAAGTACAGAAAAAAAAGTAATAAATAAAATATGAAAACATTTTTAAATAAAAAAATATTTATAATAAAAATAATAAAATTTATCGAATTCTAATTTTAATATATCAAATTAGAAATTAAAATAAATAAAATAATGATTAATTAATTAATAAATAATAATAATAATGATAATAAAAATAAATAATTATTAATTATTGAGTAATTGAATAAAAATCATTAAAATTGCAAATATACTAAATATAATTTACTAAATTAAAATTAAAAATATATTTACCATTTTTTTTTCGTTTCTCTCTCTCTTTCTCTCTTTCTATAGTGAATTAATTAAATAACTAATGACAATTGCAATGAAAATGCAAAAAAGAATTAAACCGACAAATTTTATTTCATCACTGTAGTAATTGCAATCATTATTTTTATTCATTCTATCATTAAAATGAAAATAAAATTTATCCAAAAATTATTATTAATGTCCATATCTTTCAAATAATTTAAATGCTCCAAAACATAGTGAAATTGTGATTAAAATTATCACTAATGGCCAAGCAAGATCATAAAGTAAACATAAATATCCCGGTGTAATTTTCTTTGAACAACAAAAAAATCGATTTCTTCTTCCAAATAATTTTGACATTTTTTTTTTTTTTTATTTATTTTTGTTGTTGTGTTGATTGTTTATGAAAAATATCCAAGTTACAAATATAAATTTTCCATTTTTTTTTTGCTTCTGATTATTTGTATTGAAAAACTTTCAAAATTAAACATATAATTTTTCCATTTTTTTTCTGATTATTTGTGTGAAAAAAAATTCCGAAATTAAAAATATATTGACATTTTTTTTTTTGAATTCCAAATTGCAAAAATTATTTATCAAATTCACTCCACTGATTTACATTTTGATGTCAATTTACGCCATTGATTGGGGTTTTTTTTTTTATTATTTTACTCAAAAGTGTAAATTTTTATTCATTTTTGAAAAAATTTTCTTCGATAATATAAAAAAAAAAAAAAAATGACATTTTTATGACTAAAATGAAAAACAAATGAAGGTTTTCTAGAAAAAGGAAATAAAAAAGTAAAATTGAACAAAAACAAAAAAAATAAAAATAGTAATTGATAGACAAGTAATTGATTTAGAGTTAAACAGAAAAAATAATAAAAAGAAAAATATCGAATTTAAATATGCAACTAAAAAATTATTTAAAGAAACAATTATTGAAAAACTGAAAACTTATATAATAAATTGAATAGAATTACGATTTAAAAAAAAATGAATAAAGTTGAATCCAATAATATTGAATAAAAATATGATATTTAATAAAATTTTCAAAATAATAATAATTATTATTTATAAAATACATATTCAATTAAAATTAATTAAATAATTTTTATAATAATGCAATAATTTAATTGTAGGGAATTAAAATAATTATTAATTTGTAATAATAATAATAATAATAATTATTATTATTATATTAATAATTAATTATTAATACTATTATTATTTATTATTTATTAGAATTATTATTATTATTCAATTCACGAAGCTGAAGTACACAACGTTTACCAACGAAATTTTTTTTAAAGTTGTATATTGATTCAAAAATTGTATACAAATACAAAAAATTTATGATGAGAAAAAAGATGCGCCAGGAAATTTCGTACAAGATAGTAATTTGAAAAAAATTTATTTTTAAAAATTAATTTTTAAGGTACCAGGGGCCAACGAATACCTATTAAATATTAATTATAAAAACACAGGCCTCGAATCAACTTAAAGACACAAAAAAGTCGTTTTAGTCGATTTATATTCCAAAAAAAAGTGGATTTGTTTTTTATTTAAACAAAAATATTTTACAGATTTTTAAATAAAAAATTTGTTTTTAATAATAATCCTTTTCGAAGGGTTAGAGTTGAAATTTTTAGAAATAATTAAATTTAAAAAGATATTGTTAATTTTCAAACAATTATTAAATTTTACAGAACTAAAAGTAATTTATCAAAACATTTTTTGGAAAACATTTTTTAAATTTAATTGAATTTTCAAAGATTTAAAATTGAGATTTTTGAAATTAATTGAAACTTTAAGTGTTTTGTAATTAAAATTTTAGATGATTTCACTAAAAATTTATTAGAAAATGCGGATAAAATACAATAATTTGAAAATCATATTTAATTGAAAAATGGTTTCAGATAGTTTTGAATTTTCAAAGAATATTTTTAAAATAGTTAAAAATAATTGAATTTCCTTAGAGTTATAATTGAAATTATTAAATTTCAAAAAAAAAAAAAATTTTCGATGGAAAATATTAGAAATAATTAAATTTTAGATGCTTTTAAATTCAAATTATTGAAAATTCAATTAATTTTCAATTCAAATTTTTGAGAATAATGAAATTTTATTTGATTTTAAATTTGGAAAATAATTGAATATCAGTTCATTTTGAATTGAAAATTTTGGGAAATAATTGAATTTGAATTGAAATTTTGGATAATAATTTAATTGAAGTTCATTTTTGATTGAAAATTTGGATAATTAATTTTGAATAGAAATTTTGGAAAATAATTGAATTTTATTTCATTTTAAATTGAAAACTTGGTAAATAATTAAATTTTAAATTGAAAATTTTGGATAATTATTGGATTTTTAATTGATTTTGAATTAAAATTTTGAAAATAATTGAATATTAGTTGATTTAAAAACCACAATTTTAAGAAAATAATTGAATTTTAGTTTATTTTGAATTGAATACTTGGAAAATAATTGAATTTTAGTTTATTTTGAATTTATTACTTGGAAAACAATTGAATTTTAGTTGATTTAGGATTGAAAATTTTGAAAATAATTAAATTTCAGTTGAAATTTGGAAAATAATTGAATTGTAGTTTATTGTGAATTGAAATTTTTGAAAATAATTGAATTTTAGTTGACTTTGAATTGAAAATTTTGAAAATAATTGAATTGTAGTTTATTTTGAATTGAAAATTTTGAAAATAATTGAATTTTAGTTTATTTTGAATTGAAAATTTTAAAAATAATTGAATTTTTGTTAATTTTGGATTGAAATTTTCGAAAATAATTGAATTTTAGTTTATTTTGAATAGAAATTTTCAAAAAAATAATTCAATTTTATTGTGATATTTTTTTTAAATTATAAACAATTGTTAAATTTCATAAAAATTTTAATTGAAAAATAATTTTGATATAATTGAATTTGTGATGTATTTCATTAAAATTAATAAAAAATAATTAATTTAGTGAAGAATCATTTTAGTTCAAAATTTGTTAAATAATTGAATTGAAGAAGATCTCAAGAAGATCTACATTTTATACTAAAAAAATGTATTTTATTTACATTTTCTTTTCAAATGTAAAAAAAATGTCGCATTTTATTAAAATAAGTCGGTAAAAGTCATATTATTGAAAAAAAAGTCGGAAAAAGTCGTATAATCCGAGGCCTGTAAACATATAATTTTCATTATTATTATCATTTAATATGCAATAAATATTCTAATAAATTAAATTATTATTGATAATATTAATCTTTAATTTCTTTATAACAAACAATTAAATACTTAATTTGACGCGCGTTTAATTTTGCTAGTTAATACAATAATTTAATTAAAATTATTCAAATAATCAAATATTTAATTAATTATTATTGATTTCGATGTGGATCGAAATTTTTTTTTTTATTAAAAAAAAATAATAATAATTAACAAATTTTATTTCAGTTATTTGCAAGGCAGCTCCACTGGAATGACAGAAAGACTGGAAAACGTAACTCAAACTATTTCGAGAATTTTGGACGGTTATGATATTCGATTAAGGCCAAATTTTGGTGGTGAGTTTATTTTTTTATTTTCTTTTTTTTCTTTTTAATAATATTTTTGTTTCGATTTTCAATAAAATATCACATTTACTTTGAAATATTTGACATAATTAGAAAATTAGAATATTCGTATTAAAATATTATTTAGAATTTTGAAAATATGAAAAATATTTTTTTTATTTATTAAAAACGAAAAATTATTTTTTACAATAAAAATTAATTAATTTATCAACAAAAATTTAATTAATTTTTCTTTTTAACGATTTTTTTTTGGGAAAAATAAATCAATATTTTATAACAAAAAAAAAAAAAATCGGAGGTAGAAAAAAGTTTTAAAGTTGAAAATAAAGGGAAAAAAAATTATTGTCTTTTTTAGGAGAAATTAAAGAAATTCTAATTCTAATTATTATTAGAAAAAAATAAATTTATCTTTTAAATAAAATTCTCTACTACACATACGTATATATATATGTATATATATATATATATATATATATATGTATAAAAATACGTTTCTGATATTCATTAAAGCTCTTAATAGAATTTTCCGCGTCATTCAGCGCGACATGATCATTAGCGCTTTTAATTGAGTGGCTCTCGATGAGTGGAAGTAACGCGAGTTTTATCGATTTCTTTCCGCTGATTTTAATTGGCAACTTGAAGAGAATAAAAAAAAAAAAGGCGACTGTGTACTATTAAAAGCCCCACACGAACTTGATCTTGATTTTTTATATATTTAATTCTCTCTTTCTCTCTCTACTTAAATAAAAAATTCATATTTTTATAAAATGAATGAAAAAAATGTAATTTTATTTATTTATTTTCAATTTATTTATTTTATTAATTTATTCTCTTTAATTATTAAAATAAAAAAAAATTATATATATTTGACTAAAATTAATTTTTTTTCTTTTATACATAGGAGATCCTTTATTTGTCGGCATGGATCTCACGATTGCCAGTTTCGATGCCATTTCGGAAGTAAACATGGTGAGTGAAATAAAAAATTCCAAATAATATTATTTTGTTTTTTTTTTATATATTTTTTAATTATTTATTTACTAACTTAAAAATAATAGAAAAATATACTAAATTATTAATATGAATTAATTATAAAATTAATTACGCAAATAATTGCAATTGAAAATAAATTATTTGTTACAAATTTTTCTCTTTTTAAATTATGAAATAATATAACTATAAAAAATAGTAATAGAAATTTATATTTAATTTAAAAAAATAAATTTTCTTTTAAATAAATTGTTTCCAATTGCAATTATTCATTTTTCTTTTTTTCTCTAAATTGAATAAATTTAATTTAGAAAAAAAAAATAATTTTACCGAATGCCTTAAAGCAAATGTCAATGTGCAAACTTATCTTTCGTTGTACTTGAAAGCTCTCTTCAAGCTTATGCCATTATCCTTGACTGTAAGAAATGAAGAGGTTCTTTTGCCTCCAGGAACATTCATAGAGACTGACGATATCGAGTCAAGAATCACAGACGTGATTCATTCTTTGAGATGATAAGTTTTCATGATTCAGAAATCCTGATCACGTTCCAAATATCTCTCCTCATATATTGCTAGAAAGAGAGAGAGAGAGAGAGAGAAAAAAAGATAGAGATAGAAAGAGGGGACAGAAAGAATCTAAGCACATCCCTCAAATATTTATCAAACTTTTACGGATTTGAACAAAACAAAAAAAAAAAATCTACAATTTCATTATTCGATCTTCTTTTTGTATTCATTATTTTCTTTTTTTTTTTTTATTGGAAAAAATTTTTTAAGGGAAATATAATTTTTGTCAATAAAAAAATATTGTTTTTTCCAAATATATTTTAATATTTCAATAATTTTTTATTTCAATTTTTATTTCAATTATTCAAATAAATTTTTAACTAAAATTTTTCTCTAAATTAATTATTTTTAATAATAATTTTAATGAAATTCAATTCACAAATTCAATTATCTTAAATATTATTTTTCAATTAAAATTTTTAGGAAATTTAACAATTGTTTACAAATTTATTTACAATTTTTTTTTTATTTATTTTATTTTATTATTTTAATTTTATTGTATAATAATAATTTAGTTATTTATTGAATCATAGTAATAATAGTAATAATAGTAATAATAGTAATAATAGTAATAATAGTAATAATAGTAATAATAGTAATAATAGTAATAATAGTAATAATAATAATAATAATAATAATAATAATAAATTATTATTTTATTATAATATTTACAATTATTTACAATTTTATTACAATTTAAAAAAAAAATCAGCAAACAAAATTATATTAAAAATTTCAATTTAAAACCTTTTAAAATACAATTATTTTAAAAATTTTTCATCTTAAAAACTTTTTGAAATTTAATAATTTTAATTATAATTCTTCTCAAATTCAATTATTTTTAATGATTTTTTATAATATTCTTCGAAATTCAATTTGCTGAAAGAATTTTTCAATTAAAAACTTTTATAATTCAATTTTTTTCTATTATTATTATTATTATTATTATTATTATTATTATTTAATAAATTCTTCAGCAAACATAAAACACGAAAAATTTCAATTAAAAAATTGACTGGTAGTTCAATTAATTTCAAAAATCTAAAATAGTAAATCTTTGAAAATTCAATTATTTAAAAAAAAAAATGTTATCTAAAATTTTTTTAATAATTTATTTTCAATTTTTAAAATATTTAATTATTGTCTGAAATTTAAGAAATTTTTTTTTTTTGAATTCAATTACTTCTAAAAAATTTCAACTGTAATTCTTTTTAAATTCAATTATATTTCTAAAAAATTTCAACTGTAATTCTTTTTTTTAATTTTTCTTTAAAAAAAAATTCAATTATTTTTAATAAATTTAATTTTTCTTTAAAAAAATTCAATTATATTTTTAATAATTTTAATTTATCTTTAAAAAAATTCAATTATTTTTAATAATTTTAATTTTTTTTTTAAAAATTCAATTATTTAAAAAAGTTTTAAAATAAAAACTCTAAAGTTGAATTATTGTCAGAAATTTAAAAAAACAAAAAAAATGCAGCAGTTTAAATTTGCAGAAAATTTATTTGAAATTTAAAATCTTTTGCAATTCAATTATTTAAAAGAAAAATTAATTTAAAAATCTTTGAAACTTAATCGACTTTTTCTGGAATGTAAATCGACTAAAACGACTTTTTTTATTTTTTTTTCTTTTTGCTCCATAAAGTCGATCCGAGGCCTGGAAAATATGCGATGAAAGGAAAAATTTTTTTAATATTAAAAAAAAAATTCGGGTCTCAGGATTAAATTCGTATTTTATTATTATTATTATTATTATTATTATTATTATTATTATTATTATTATTATATATTTATTTATTCTCCCTACTAAGGTATTGTTATTCATTATTATTATTATTGTTATTTTTACTATTATTATTTGTTATTTTTCTCAAAAAAAAAATAATTTTTTCCCCTATTATTATTGTGCTTAATATTTTATTATTATTTTATTTCTTTTTTAGGATTACACCATAACAATGTATTTAAATCAATACTGGAAGGATGAGAGACTTGCCTTTTCCCATGAGGGGGAAGTATTAACATTGAGTGGAGATTTCGCTGAAAAAATTTGGGTACCTGACACTTTTTTCGCAAATGACAAAAACAGGTGAGTTAAAAAGAGAATTTAAAAAAACAAAAAAAAATTATAATTTTCTAATTGAATAATTAATTTCAAAAAATTTTTTACTTTAAAAAAACAATATAAAATTTTTAAAATTCCAAAATTTACCAAAAAAAAGAAAATACAATTTAATTTAATTAAAAATTATTTGGAAATTATGAAATTATTTTTTATTATCGAAATTAAAAAAGGAGTGAATAAATTTGTTTTCATCTATTTTTGTAAAAATTCTCACAATAAAAAATAAAATAGTAAATTAAAGAATTTTTTGTTTTTTTTTTAATACAGAAAGCAAAAAAAAAAAAAGTAGTAAACAATTTTTTTTTGTTAATTTGAACGTTTAGGTAAATGTTGTAATTTGTGAAATTTTTTTCATTTTCGAGAATAAATTAAAGGAAAATTTCTATTTTCGAGAATATTCTAGACTTTTATTATCATTATAATAAAATTTATAATTATATATATATAAACTAATAAACGTATGTAACGACCCTATTATTTAAATATAAAATATATATACAAAGTAGAATAATATAAATCGATATACGAATATGGGTTAAAAGCGATTCGTGCCAAACGGTTCGCCTTTAAGTCCAGGGTTCTCTCCAACGCCCTGACCCCATTTTCTCTTCCGTCAATGAAGAGATTTGCCCCTTTTTTTTTTCTTCTTCTTCTTATTCATCATCGTCTCATTCTTTTTTTTCTCTCTTTCTCTCACGTAGACATTGTAGAATCATTAATTGTCCATAAAGACGAGTTTAACTTCCTTGTTCATTTTTTTTCTTTTTTTTTTCTATACATGCGATTGTAGTTTTCTTCACGACGTGACTGAACGCAACAAGCTCGTACGATTATCAGGAGGTGGTTCAGTCACATATGGCATGAGATTTACAACAACTTTGGCGTGTATGATGGACCTACATTATTATCCTCTGGACTCACAAAATTGCACCGTCGAGATCGAAAGTTGTAAGTATTAATTTTTTTTAAAAGAGAATTAATTAAAAATTAATTAATTAAAATTACCTCGAAAAAATTGAAAATTTCCTAATGATCGATTTTGAAAAAATAATTATTATATAATTATTATATAATTATATATTATATATTATATAATAATAATATTCCGTATTCATTCATTCATTCCGTCTGTCCACACTTGAAGTTAGTCGTATTTTGTTCCTTTTGTTTTTCTAAAATTTTGACAATTCTTGATTTCGTAATATTTTATGGTTAACACGACGGATATTTTTATTCATCGTCATTAATTAAGTCATATACTAAGTGACAGTTTAAAGTAAAAAAAAAAAAATATTGTTCATTGTGTGCAGTACCAGTATATTTCCTACTTGGTATTTATAGAAAAGAAAGTTTCAATTATAATATAATTTTTATTATTATTTATAAATTTATTATATTATATATACATTTTTTATATAATGATTATTACAGATAATTATAGAACATATAATTATTATTTCTTTCATTATTTTTTCATTATTCATTATTATTTATTATATATATTATTATTCATAAATTTATTATTATTAATTTGTTTTTATTTCTAATTATTAAATTGTTATATTTTTTTATCTGATGTAAACAATATAAAAATAGTTTGCTTTTTTAAAAAAATTTCCATTTGATTTTAATTTTTAATTTAAGTTTAAAGTTTAAAACATATTACAAAGTTTTTTTTAGGTTTTATTTTTTCAAAATTTTTAAATATTTCTTAATTGCTTAATACTTTTTAAAATATAATTAATAATTTTCAATTAATTTAAATTTCTTTTTGATTATATAATTTTTTAATATTTATTAATTATCAGTTAATGAAATTTTTTGAAAAAAAAACATAAATTAAAAATTTTTCATTTGCAACGAAATATTTATAGAAAATACAAAAAAATATTTAGCAAAACTAATTTTTTGTAATTTGAAAGATTATAAAAAATCATCGAACATTGACTTTATCAAAAATATTTATTTCTAAAATTTTAATATCTATATTTTAAAATTTTTACTTAAAAATCTTATTTTTTTAACTATCAATTCACAAAAAAATGATCTTACTCGTTATATACATTCTGTCAATAAGAAAATCCATTCGTCAGTAATATCTTTTATCCCAACAATTTCTGCCTTTTCGTATACAGTATATACATAAGTGACAAAGAATATTTTAATCATAATTGACACAACATAATTAATTTTTCTCGGCATTTCAAGTGGCGGCGGTTATGTTGGCGATACTAGAATTGATTTATCAACATTTTTACACCGCCAATTGTAACTATTGGTTTTAATTTATGTTTTTCTTATCATCACTTTTTCGATAGGTTTTTTCTTGGGTTTTCATTGTTGTTACCGTCAACAATCGAACTATTAGTTTTACAAGTTTATTAAATTTAAAAATTAACTTAGTTAAATTATTTTTGCTGTATTAACTAATTATGAGCTGGCTTAACTAAAAAATCACTATTTATATAACATCAAACTCATTTTTTTCTGTGTATAAATAAATGATAACGTGAAAATTAGAAATATACCTATTATTAATTTATTACTCCACTGGTGCAGAATTATTATTATCATTAATATTATTATTATTTTAAAACAACCATTGTAGTTAAAGTTGGACGCGCGCTTGCGCGCGTGTAATTTTGCTAGTATAATAATAAAATGCTTGGTCTGTCCTTCTGTCCTAACTTGAAGTTGGCCTTTTCTGATTTCACGTGTTTTTTTGAATAGTAATCTTATGACGTGTCAAATTTTGACAATTCTTTTTCTCATTTTTGCCAAAGTTGTATAATTGTGTTTCCAAATTTCGGAATAAGTTTCTTTAAAATTCCAAATTCGAAAATTCAATTCACGAAGCTGAAGTACACAACGTTTACCAACGAAATTTTTTTTAAAGTTGTATATTCATTCAAAAATTGTATACAAATACAAAAAATTTATGATGAGAAAAAAGATGCGCCAGGAAATTTCGTACAAGATAGTAATTTGAAAAAAATTTATCTTTAAAAATTAATTTTTAAGGTACCAGGGGCCAACGAATATCTATTAAATATTAATTATAAAAAAAACAGGCCTCGAATTAACTTAAAGACACAAAAAAGTCGTTTTAGTCGATTTATATACCAAAAAAAAGTGGATTTGTTTTTTATTTTAACAAAAATATTTTACAGATTTTTAAATAAAAAAAATTTTTTTTTTAATAATAATCCTTTTCGAAGGGTTAAAGTTGAAATTTTTAGAAATAATTAAATTTCAAAAGATATTGTTAATTTTCAAATAATTATTAAATTTTACAGAACTAAAAATAATTTATCAAAACATTTTTTGGAAAACATTTTTTAAATTTAATTGAATTTTCAAAGATTTAAAATTGAGATTTTTGAAATTAATTGAAACTTTAAGTGTTTTGTAATTAAAATTTTAGATGATTTAACTAAAAATTTATTACAAAATGCGGACAAAATACAATAATTTGAAAACCATTTTTATGAAATTATATTAAATTAAATTAAAATTAATTAAATTTCAAAAAATTTTCGATGGAATATTTTTGAAATAATTAAATTTTAGAAGTTTTTAAATTCAAATTTTTGAAAATAATTGAATTTTAATTCAAATTTTAGATATTAATTCAATTTTAGTTGATTTTTGATTGAAAATTTTGATAATAATTAATTTTGAATTGAAAATTTTAAAAATAATTACATTTTATTTAATTTAAAAATTAAAATTGATAATTTTGGGTAATAATTGAATTTTATTTGATTTTAAATTGAAAATTAGGAAAATAATTGAATTTTCTTTGATTATGAATTGAAATTTTGGAAAATAATTGAATTTTCTTTGATTTTGAATTAAAAACTTTGAAAATAATTGAATTTTAATTGAAATTTTGGATAATAATTCAATTTTAGTTGATTTTTGATTGAAAATTTTGATAATAATTAATTTTGAATAGAAAATTTTGAAAATAATTACATTTTATTTCATTTAAAATTGAAAATTTTTGGTAATATTTGAATTTAATTTGATTTTGAATTGAAAATTTGAAAAATAATTGAATTTTAATTGATTTTGAATTGAAATTTTGGGTAAGAACTGAATTTTATTTGATTTTAAATTGAAAATTTGGAAAATAATTGAATTTTAGTTGATTTTGAATTGAAAATTTTGAAAATAATTCAATTTTCTTTGCTTTTGAATTGAAATTTTAGATTATAATTAAATTTTAATTGATTTTGAATTGAAAATTTTGATAATATTTAATTTTGAATTGAAAATTTTGATAATATTTAATTTTGAATTAAAAACTTTGATATCATTTAATTTTGAATTGAAAATTTTGAAAATAATTGAATTTTCTTTGATTTTGAATTGAAATTTTGGAAATAAAAATAATTTAACAAACAATTTTTGGAAAACATTTTTTAAATTTAATTGAATTTTCAAAGATTTAAAATTGAGATTTTTGAAATTAATTGAAACTTTAAGTGTTTTGTAATTAAAATTTTAGATGATTTCACTAAAAATTTATTAGAAAATGCGGACAAAATACAATAATTTGAAAATCATTTTTAATTGAAAAATGGTTTCAGATAGTTTTGAATTTTCAAAGAATATTTTTAAAATAGTTAAAAATAATTGAATTTCCTTAGAGTTATAATTGAAATTATTAAATTTAAAAAAAAAAAATTTCGATGGAAAATTTTAGAAATAATTAAATTTTAGATGCTTTTAAATTCAAATTAGTGAAAATTCAATTAATTTTGAATTCAAATTTTTGAGAATAATGAAATTTTATTTGATTTTAAATTTGGAAAATAATTGAATTTCAGTTGATTTTGAATTGAAAATTTCGGGAAATAATTGAATTTTAATTGAAATTTTGGATAATAATTTAATTAAAGTTCATTTTTGATTGAAAATTTGGATAATTAATTTTGAATATAGAAATTTTAGAAAATAATTAAATTTTTTTTCATTTTAAATTGAAAACTTGGTAAATAATTAAATTTTAAATTAAAAATTTTTGATAATTATTGGATTTTTAATTGATTTTGAATTAAAATTTCGGGTAATAATTGAATTTTAGTTTATTTTGAATTGAAATTTTGAAAAAATAATTCAATTTTATTGTGATATTTTTTTTTAAATTATAAACAATTGTTAAATTTCATAAAAATTTTAATTGAAAAATAATTTTGATATTATTGAATTTGTGATGTATTTCATTAAAATTATTAAAAATAATTAATTTAGTGAAGAATCATTTTTTTTCAAATGTAAAAAAAATGTCGCATTTTATTAAATTAAGTCGATAAAAGTCGTATTTTTGAAAAAAGTCGTATAATCCGAGGCCTGTAAACATATAATTTTCATTATTATTATTTAATATGTAATTAATATTCTAATAAATTAAATTATTATTGATAATATTAATCTTTAATTTCTTTATAAGTTTATAACAAACAATTAAATACTCAATTTGGCGCGCGTTTAATTTTGCTAGTTATTTAATAATTAATAATTAATAATAATTGAAAAAGAATTGGAACTAGAGAATAAAATTCATTGTTTTTTTTTTGTTTTTGTTTTTTTTTTTTTTTTTTTGAGACCTTAAACTTGGAAAATACATTTTTTTCGTTGAAAAATGCATTTGTCTTTTCTTATAAACAGAAATTAAAACATGAAAATTACATGTTTAATTTAAAATCGGAATATAAATTAGTCGAGTTATTAACTTTGAATAGTCATTAACGAAATTACATTTCCTCGAAGGTCTAATAGTATGAAACCGCACACATCATCATCACAGCAATCAATTCATACGGTCAAATTCATTATATACTCCCACTGCCTATAGAATTTATTACAAATACAAAATAGTCTTTGAAACATATTAATTGTGAACAGACCTCAAAATCGAGATATAATGCTCACTTTACGACAACATTAATTGTCTCTCTCTCTCTATATATATATAATATAAGATTCAATTATATTCTAATCACTCATTTTCTACAAAATTTAAATTCACAAAAGTCACGTTGGAAACTTTTTTTTTAAAGTGGAACTCGTAAAAATGCAATTAGAAACAAAATTTACTTTGTAAATTATTCTGTTCCACTAATTCATTCATTTAACTATTATTCATTTTTTAACGCTTGAATGAATTAATTGTTCTCACCTGAAATTATTATTTATAGAATTATTATTATTACTATTATTATTATATACTATAAAAATTATAACGATAATAATATTAATAAAATACATATTATCGTTATAATTATTATTATTATTATTAGTATCATTTATATTTTAGTATTTTTTTTTTAGTATTTGTATTTATTTCTCTTTTTTAGTTTAGTGTACATATGAATGAAATATTGAGGTTTTTTTTTTTTAATTTGAAGCTGAATTTTGTGAAATTTTTCCAGAATTTTCTGATTTTTTTCTATTTTTTAATTCTTTTAATTCTTTTTTTTTTAATTTGAAATTAAATTCCGTGTAATTTTTCGAGTATTTTGAGATTTTTCTGTTATTTTTTAATTTCTTTTAATTATTTTTTAAATTATTTTTTTCATAATTTTTTTTTTTTAATTTGAAACTAAATTCCGTGAAATTTTTTGAGTAGTTTGCGATTTTTTTCGCATTATTATTATTATTATTATTATTATTATAATTCTTGTTATTATTAATTATTACATTTGTAAATAATTATTAATTCTAATTTATTACTTAATAATTAATAATTAATTAAAGTCAAATTACAATTGAAATTTACAAAAAAATAGTTTTTGAAAATCCCGAAAATTTTTTTGTACATAATTTTTACATCTTGAAATTCCTTACATAAATAAAAATAATTTTAAATTGAATAACAAAAATTTTTAATATCATTTTTATTATTTTTATGTATTATTTTATGTATATTAATAATAATAATAATAATAATAATAATAATAATAATTTATTTTATTGTATGTCCTTTTCAAGGACCTTTATTATTTTATGCAGGCTTCGAAGTGACACACTTTTTTACATTTTTGATACTTTTTTTTTACTACTAATTTTGGTCAAAAGCCACTAAATGATACTTTTCTTCAAAAATAATTTTAAAAATGACAGAATTCAAGAATTTTAAATTTTAGCGAATTTCTTTTTAAACGATTTTTTACTACATAGAATTTTTAATTTGGCAAATTTTTTTTTACTGAATTTTTATTTTACAAAATTTCTCTTTACCCAACTGTTTTTTTTTTTTTTTTTTTTTTTAATAATTCTAATTTAACCAAAATTCAGACAATAATTGAATTTTAGAGTATTTTGAATTGAAAATGTTTTAAATAATTGAAATGCCAAGATTTTGATTAAAATTATTAGAAATAATTATTTCAACAAAAAATTTGAATCAAAATTTTTAATAATAATTGAATTTTAGGAGATATAGAATTAAAATTTTAGTAAATTAGAATTGCTGAAAATAATTAACAAAATTTCAAACAGTAATTAAATATTAGAGAATTTTTAATTAAAAAATGTTATATTTAATTGCATTTTTGAATAATTGAAATTATTAATTTAGCAAAAATTTTTAGATACAAATTTTATAGATAATTGAATTTTGCAAGATTTCGAGTTAAGATTTTGAGAAATAATTGAATTTTTGGAGATTTAAATCTAAATAAAATTATTTTTTAAAAAATCAGGAGAAAAATAATGTCAATTTTATTACTCGGAATTTTTCTTTCAATTTTTTTAAGATAAGAAAATAATTACACTTTAACGTCAAACTTGGAAAACTAATTTTACTTTATTTTAAAAATGTCACTTTTTTGATATTTTTTTTTTCAATTTTTGGGGGTAATTTTTTTTTTTTTTTTTTACAAAAAATGATACTTTTTCAAACTTTTCTTAGTCTCTTACTATGCTTCGAAGTTTCTAATTATAAACTTTGAAAAATTTCAAATTGAAAGAAATAATTTAGTGGAAATTATAATTGTAATTTTTGAAAATTTTAAATTGAACGAAATTATTTAGAGGAAATTATAATTGTAATTTTGAAAAATTTTAAATTGAACGAAATTATTTAATTGAAACTATAATTGTAATTTTTGAAAAATTCCTAATTGAACGAAATAATTTAGTTGAAACTATAATTGTAATTTTTGAAAAATTCCCAGTTGAACGAAATTATTTCGTTGAAGTATATATAATTATAATTTTCAAAAAATTTCAAATTGAACATAATTATTTAGTTGAAATTATAATTGTAATTTTTGAAAAATTTCAAAATTGAACGAAATTATTTAGAGGAAATTATAATTGTAATTTTTGAAAAATTTCGAAATTGAACGAAATTATTTCGAGGAAATTATAAAATTGTAATTATTGAAAAATTTCGAAATTGAACGAAATTATTTAGAGGAAATTATAAAATTGTAATTTTTGAAAAATTTCGAAATTGAACGAAATTGAACGAAATTATTTCATTAAAATATATAATTATAATTTTCAAAAAAAAAAATTTTAAATTTAATAAAATTATTTATTAGAAATATATGATTATAATTTTATAAATGAATACAAAAATCGAGGGACGTGTAATAATTTTTTTCTTTTTTAATTTCCTAAAATTTTAGATGGTTACACGGTTTCGGATGTGGTGATGTACTGGAAGGAAACACCAGTTAGAGGTGTTGACGAGGCGGAATTACCCCAATTTACAATAATCGGTTACGAGACCAACGATCGAACTGAGACACTTGCCACTGGTGTTTATCAGAGACTCTCATTGAGTTTCAAATTAAAAAGAAATATTGGTTATTTTGTCTTTCAAACCTATCTTCCCAGTATTCTTATCGTCATGCTCAGCTGGGTTAGTTTTTGGATAAATCACGAAGCCACCAGTGCCCGTGTTGCTTTAGGTAAAAAAAAATTTGTATAATTTTTTTTCAAAATTGTTCTTTTCATTTTTTTTAATTTATAGTTTATCTAGAATTTTTTTACTTTATTCAATTTTTATTAATTTTTACAGTAAATAGTAATTTTTCAGTGATATTTTGATAAATTTTGAAAAAATACAAATCCGATATTTTTTGTATTTTCTATTTTTTTTTTTTTGTAGTATCGAATTTTATGTTTGTAATTTTTCTTTAACAGAATTTTAATTTTTTTTGCATTCGAATTTACATTTATTTTCCCTTTTTCCGGTAATTGTTTAAATTGTGCATAAATGTATCTAATAAAAAAAAAAAGTTTAGTGAAAAAAGAAAATAAAAATTTTTGTTTGCAGGTATCACAACTGTATTGACCATGACGACAATTTCAACGGGAGTGAGAAGTTCCTTGCCACGCATCAGCTATGTGAAAGCCATCGACATTTATCTGGTGATGTGTTTTGTTTTTGTTTTTGCGGCTTTACTAGAATACGCTGCAGTCAATTACACGTATTGGGGAGCAAGAGCCAAAAAGAAAACCAAAAAGAAAGATATCGAGGAGAAGAAACCTACTTCCTCCAAGATTGGTTCGTTTATTAAATATTAAATTTTCTCTTTTGTGAAACGAAAGTCTTTTTTTATTTACTTTTAGCTTTCTTTAATTTTTTTTTCAAAATAATTATAATTTAAATTTAATTATGAAATTATTTTTGTTAGAAATAATTTGATTAATTTTATAGGATATTTTTTTCTTTTTTAATTTAATTACAAGATTTGAGATTTTTTTTTTTTTGTAGAGAGTAAAGCAAGTTCGCCATTTCCGGGCAACACTGACGTTGATATCATCGAATTACACGATTTGAGAATGTCACCACTTCCAAGTATTAGAAGTAGATCGGGTTTGGTGAGTGCTTCTGGAACACCAGGACCACCAAAGGATCATGATCCTGCGAAATTCCCCCCGAGTTTTCGAATATCGAGAGCGCCCGGTTACAATACACACGGACGAAATAGCGGTCTCAGGTATCGAGGGCCTAGACAACACAAACCCAAGGTGAGAGAGAGAGAGAGAGAGAGAAAAAAAAATAAATAAAAATCGAGAATTTTTTTTTATTTAAATAAATAGAAATTTAATTTTTTTTTAAAATTAAAATAAATAGAAAAAAGTCTAAATAAAAATTTGGATAAATTGAAACTTAAATTAATTAAACTCTCTAAATCTGAATTAGTGAAAATGTTTACTAATTTAAATTAGTGACTCACTTTTTGCTTCTCAATTAGTTAAAAGTTACTAATAATTAGTAAAATTTTACTAATTGAGAAGCAAAAAGTGAGTTACTAATTGGAATTAGTGAACATTTTTACTAATTCAGATTTAGAGAGAAAATTTGAAAAATTCAGATAAAAAAAAAAAATTGTTTATTCTCGATTTTTGTTAAAGAAAAAAACGGAAATCTCGTTTTTTTTTATTCCATAATTTCTCCGAAATTAACTATAATAATTTCCGTATTCATTCATTCATTCCGTCTGTCCACACTTGAAGTTAGTCGTATTTTGTTCCTTTTGTTTTTCTAAAATTTTGACAACTTGATTTCGTAATATTTTATGGTTAACACGACGGATATTTTTATTCATCGTCATTAATTAAGTCATATACTAAGTGACAGTTTAAAGTAAAAAAAAATATTGTTCATTGTGTGCAGCACCAGTATATTTCCTACTTGGTATTTATAGAAAAAAAAGTTTCAATTATAATATAATTTTTATTATTATTTATAAATTTATTATATTATATATACATTTTTTTAAATATAATGATTATTACAGATAATTAGAACATTTTAACTTATTATTATTATTTATCTTTCATTATTTTTTCATTATTCATTATTATTTATTATATATTATTATTCATAAATTTATTATTATTAATTATTAAATTGTTATATTTTTTTATCTATAAACAATATAAAAATAGTTTGCTTTTTTAAAAAATTTTCTATTTGATTTTAATTTTTAATTTAAGTTTAAAGTTTAAAACATTACAAATTTTTTTTAGGTTTTATTTTTTCAAAATTTTTAAATATTTTTTAATTGCTTAATACTTTTTAAAATATAATTAATAATTTTCTGTTAATTTAAATTTCTTTTTAATTACATAATTTTTTAATATTTATTAATTATCAGTTAATTAAATTTTTTGAAAAAAAACATAAATTTAAAATTTTTATTTGCAACGAAATATTTATAGAAAATACAAAAAAATATTTAACATAACTAATTTTTTGTAATTTGAAAGATTATAAAAAATTCATCGAACATTGACTTTATCAAAAATATTTATTTCTAAAATTTTAATATTTATATTTTAAAATTTTTACTTTAATTTATTTATTTATATAACATCAAACTCATTTTTTTCTGTGTATAAATAAATGATAACGTGAAAATTAGAAATATACCTATTATTAATTTAATACTCCACTGATGCAGAATTATTATTATTATTATTATTATTATTAATATTATTATTATTTTAAAATAACCATTGCAATTAAAGTTGGACGCGCGCGTGTAATTTTGCTAGTTACATATAATAATCGTGAATATCTTTCGTTCATTCTGTCCACACCTGAAGTTAGTATTTGTTATAGGTCTTTTATTTTTTTTAAATGTATTGTTTGACATTATTTTGTGTTGGTTAAAATTTTTCAATGTTTTTTTTAGCATTGTTTCGATAATTAATTTTGAATAGAAATTTTAAAAAATAATTGAATTTTATTTTATTTTAAATTGAAAACTTGGTAAATAATTGAATTTTAAATTGAAAATTTGAAAATAATTTAATTTTAGTTGATTGTTGATTGAAAATTTGAAAATAATTAATTTTAGTTGATTGCTGATTGAAAATTTTGATAATAATTAATTTTGACTCGAAATTTTGGAAAATAATAAAATTTTAATTGAAATTTTGGATAATAATTTAATTTAAGTTGATTTTGGATTAAAATTTCGGGTAATAATTGAATTTTAATTGAAATTTTCGATAATAATTTAATTTAAGTTCATTTTTAATTGAAAATTTCGATAATTAATTTTGAATAAAAATTTTTAAAAATAATTGAATTTTATTTCATTTTAAATTGAAAACTTGGTAAATAATTGAATTTTAAATTGAAAATTTTGAAAATAATTTAATTTTAGTTGATTGTTGATTGAAAATTTGAAAATAATTAATTTTAGTTGATTGCTGATTGAAAATTTTGATAATAATTAATTTTGACTCGAAATTTTGGAAAATAATAAAATTTTAATTGAAATTTTGGATAATAATTTAATTTAAGTTGATTTTGGATTAAAATTTCGGGTAATAATTGAATTTTAATTGAAATTTTCGATAATAATTTAATTTAAGTTCATTTTTAATTGAAAATTTCGATAATTAATTTTGAATCGAAATTTTAAAAAATAATTGAATTTTATTTCATTTTAAATTGAAAACTTGTTAAATAATTGAATTTTAAATTGAAAATTTTGAAAATAATTTAATTTTAGTTGATTGAAAATTTTGATAATAATTAATTTTAGTTGATTGTTGATTGAAAATTTTGATAATAATTAATTTTGACTCGAAATTTTGGAAAATAATTGAATTTTAATTGAAATTTTGGATAATAATTTAATTTAAGTTGATGTTGAATTAAAATTTCGGGTAATATTTGAATTTTATTTAATTTTAAATTGAAAACTTGGTAAATAATTGAATTTTAAATTGAAAATTTGGAAAATAATTCAATTTTATATATAATTTAATAACATATAATAATAATTTTCATTATTATCATTTAATATGAAATAATATTCTAATAAATTTAAATTATTATTGATAATATTAATCTTTAATTTCTTTATAACAAACAATTAAATACTCAATTTGGCGCGCGTTTAATATTGCTAGTATCAATTAAAAAAAATATTTCAAACGTGTCAAAAAAAGGAAATTTTTTTTTTCACAGGTTTTGCACGCAATTCGCAGAGGTGCATCAGTATTACGAGCTTCAATGCCAAAAATTAAGGACGTTAATATAATTGATAAGTACTCGAGAATTATTTTTCCCGTGAGCTTTTTACTCTTTAATGCCGGTTATTGGATATTTTATGTTCTATGAGGGAACAATTTTCCAAATTAAAGAGGGTAATTATCGCTTTTTTTTCATCTAATTTCATTTTTTTTTTAAATATATACGTACAAAACTCACGGTGAAAAATAAAGAAAAACTAACTAAAGCGGGTTGTAGATAAAATAGCCTAGTTGTTAATAATGTCATGAAAAAAAAGAAAATTAAGCTAAAAAACAAATATTAGAAGCGTAATAGATTCCATTCGATCTCATAATGTTTAGGAAAAAAAAAAAATTTATTATATATTAAAAATATAAATATAAATTAAAAATATAGTGGCGTCATTAGATTATATATATATATCAAAAAATTAAATTTTCGAAAAAAGAAATGAAAATAATTTTTTGCAGTTGCGTCACTGGAAAAGAAATAAATTTCCTTTTCTTTTTAAAGGGATACTTATTATATTGAAACGAATATTGTAAATTAAGATATAATAATTATAATTATTATAATAATTATTATAATTATAATTATTACAATAATAATTATTATAATTATAATTATTACAATAATAATAATTATAATAATTATAATTATGCGGCGTATAGAATTTTCTTTAAATATCATTAATTAGAATTTTTTTAAAAGAATTTTTATTAAAAATAATTATTCTTTAGACGAATTTTCATTTTTTTTCCAATTAGCATATTTGACAGAATTTCGTTTTTAATAAGAATTTTTTACTTCAAAAAAATTTTTAGCTACTGAATTTTTATTTTACAATTATTTTTTTTTACATAAATTTTTTTTTCTTCCAAAAATGTTGAATATCGAATTTTTATTATTTTAATTTATTCATTCGAATTGTTTTTAAATAACAGAAATTCCAATTCGCCGAATTTTTATATTTGTCCGAAATTAAAAAATGACCGAACAAATAATCGACAAGAAAGATTATGTCATCAAAAATTCGTACTCTTGTAATTCGGTGAATTGGAATTTCTGTTATGCAGAAAAAATTCGAATGAATAAATAAAAATAATAAAATTCGATTCAATGAGAATTCTATTAAATAAAAAAAAATTCGATTAAATTAAAAATTCATTTAAGAGAAAAATTCCAGTTAAAGAAAATAAAACTGTAAAATAAAAATATGCAAAAATTTCGATAGCTTAAAATTTTAAGTAAAAATTTCATTTAAAATAAAATTCTGATTTTAATTAGAAAAATTGAAAATTCGTCTAAGAAATAAAATGAATAAAATTGAATAAAATTCTTTAAAATAAAAATTCTAATTAATGATTTTTTTAATGGAAAATTCATGCGTCCTATAATTATAAGAATAGAAATAATAATAAAAAAAAATAAGAAAAAGAATTATGAGAATTATAAGAATAATTAACGAAAAACTGAATATATAAATAATATATATATATATTTGTCCCGACACGAAAAAAAAGTTGAGACATTTGTAGACAAAGAAAGTTATAAATCTACTGCCATGACATCATACACACGCACATAAACTTGCATACACATATATATATATATAAATATAAAATGTATAAAAAAAAAAGAATATTTTGTGTTTGCAAACCAAGTTGTGTTTGTTAACTTTGGAGCACAAAAGAAAAGAGAAAAAAATAACTTGTTCAAAGGTACGAAAATCGTAAGAGCAGATAAAAAAAAAAAATATATATATAGTAAAGTCTGACAAAAACATATTATAATATATTGAAGACCAATTAGTAGAGAATTTTTTTTTTTAATATTTGAATAAGTTTATAATATAAAAAAATACCTAGTGATTCAAATTAAACAAAGGAAGTTTATATTTAATTAATTTTATTAATAGTTATAGTTATTAATACTTATAGTAAATTAATTAATTTTATTAATTAACTGTTACTTATAGTAAATTAATTAATTTCGCATAAAATTAATTAATAGTAACAATTAATTCTATACACATAAATTAATTATACTTTCAGTAAATTAATTAATTATTATTAGTTTCACTCTTTTTTCATTCAAATTATTATTTAATTTTAAAAAAAACTAAAATTTAGTTTTCTATTTGTTTTTTGTTTTATTAATTTGCTTGATAGTTTGCTTTTTTTTACCGAATACGGGAAAAAAATATTTTTTTCTAATAATTTAAAAATTAAAAATTAAATTTTTGCAAATATTACCAATAAGATTATAATAACAATAAAATATTTGTTATATACTGATAGAAAAAAATTTGTTAAAATATCAAAAAAGAAAGAAATAAATTTTATATACATTGGTAATTGATAAAATGATTTCCAATTAACTTTTTTCGTTTTTAATTAAAATTAATGTTTATCAAAAAAAAGAGAGAAAAAAATATTTCCTTGTTAAAATTATTATTATTATAAAAAAAATATTGTGTAAAGAAAAGACGAACGACAATATGTTCCTAATCGAGCCTATAATATTGATTTTTGATGCACGGCTAAAATTGAAGACCTAAAAAAATAAAAAGAAAAAAAGAGCAAAAAAAAATGTAAACACAAATCTGGAATCGCGATGCATTTGGATATTTAAAATAATTAATTTGATTAGTCAATTTTCAATATTATTTTAATAATTATTTCAAAAAATGGTATTCAAGCAGTATTTTTTTTCATTTCTCGTTATTAATCGTTAACTTAAATTTAAATATCCTAAATATTCTTAAATATTCTTAAATTCTTTTTTTATTCTTTTTCTTTATTCTCTTTTTTTTTTAATTTTTTATTTTTCTTGTTCGCTATTATCTTTTTTTTTACTTTCATTTATTTTTGTTGAACTTTTAAAAATTTTTATTCTTTTTTTTATTAATTTCGTTATTTTAAACAAATACCATTTAATTAATTCAAATTATAATTATTTAATATATAAATATCTATTTATTTGAATCAAATAAAAAAAAAATTTTTTGTAGTGTTTGAATTGTTTTTATTTAAAATTGTTTTTACTTAATTGTTTGCTGCTTTTTATTTTTCTTAAAAAATTTTTTTATTTTTTTAAAAATCGGATTTTAAAAACTGTATTTTTAAAACAGAAAAATATTGTTAAAAATTATTTAAGTATTTTTTTTATTTTATTTACTTATTATTTATTTTATTTAAAATGCAAAAAAAAGAATTGTTAACGCTGCAAATTTTTGCAATTTTATTCAGTTAATTAATTAAAATTAATTACAGTAATTATTTGCAATTATTATTATTATTATTAAAGAAAAAGAAAAATTCCATTTCGCGTGATATCCAGTCTTTGTGCAAAAGGTCTTCTAATTATTTTAAATAATAATTGTAATATAAATATATTATTCTCGTCGTCGTAACGAGTATAGAATTTTATCGCACTACTTATAAGAGATTAACAAAAAAAACCAAAAAAAAAACAAAAAAAACAAAAAAAAATATATATATGCATATTGTAATAATTCTATGTGAAAAATATGAAAAATGTTTTATGTCTCAAAAAAAAAAAAACACGATATCGAAATTCGACGTCCGAGAGTGTTTAGCCATTTTTGAACAAAAATTCTGAAATATATATATATAATAATATAATTATCATCTTCAGAGTTTATATATTACAGAAATAATAATATAAAAAAAAATTAATCATAGTTATTAACAAAAGAAAAAAATTATGTGAACATAATGTTCTTTTAAATTCACACGAAAAAAAAAACAAAAAAAAATGGAAAAAATATATATATATATGAAAAAATGATTATATTAATAAATAAATATATAATATATTTACAAAGATCTATATTGATGTTAAATGGCGTAATGCGCGGAGAAATACAAAAAAAAAATTCCGATTATTATAATGAGGACACAAAATAATATTGAAAAAAAAAAAAATGAAAAAAAAAAATTTATGATAACTAAGATTAAATTATAAATAATAACTTGACATTGTAGATATCACTCATCGAAAAAAATATATGAAAAAGACTTCGCATTCTTATTTTATATTCTCCCATTATTATCCGAGATTATTATATATAAATATTATTATTATATATTTGTCTGGGAAATTTTTTTTTTTATTATTTTAATGATTTCGCCATACAAAAAAGTCCAATAAATTATGTATTAAAATAAATTTTCTCCTTATTTATTTATATAAAATTCTAGGGGCCTTTTTTAATAGTTAAAATTAGTAAATAAATAATAAATTATTTGTTTGCATCAATTTTTCCGTCAAAATCATTCACATTAGAATTTTTTATTTTATATAAAGTATTTTTATATTAGAAATATAATTATTTTTTGACGAATTTCAATCTATTTTAAATTAAAATTTAATTAATTTAAATTAAATTAAAATTTATTTAATTTATATTAATAATAATTAAATTTTTTTTTTATACGAATTTTTAAATAACAAAATATTTTTTAATTTGTCCGAAATTAGAAAAAAAAACCGAACAAATAATCGACAGTAAAATTTCGTCGCAATTTTTCTGTCGATTGTTTGTTCGGTCAATTTTGTAATTTTGGACAAAAAAAAAAAAAATTTCGCCTATAAAAATTCGTACAAAATAAAAAATTCGGACAAATTTGAAATTCGGTGAATTGGAATTCTGTTAAATTAAAATTCGCCTAAATTAAAATTTTTTAATAAATAAAAATTCATGAAAAAAAAAATTGTAAAATAAAAATTCGGTCAAAAATTTGGTAGCTAAAAATTTTTTAAAATAAAAATTCGAATAAAAACGAAATTCTGTCAAATATTAATAATAAATAAACTAATAATAATGATAATAATGTAATAAAAAAATTAATATAAAATATAAAATTAATAGCAATAATAATAATAATAATAAATTATAATATAGAAATTAAAAAAAAAATTCCCTAAATATTTATTTTTAAATTACTATTAATTTACAGTAAAGAGATTATTAAAGAAAAATTTAATTAATAAAAAAAAATATATAACAAAAAAAAAATTAATTAACAATTTTTCTGTCGATTGTTTCTTCGGTCCATTTTGTAATTTCGGACAAAAAAAAAAAAATTTCGCCTATAAAAATTCGTACAAATTAAAAAATTCGGACAAATTTGAAATTCAGTGAATTGGAATTCTGTTAAATTAAAATTCGCCTAAATTAAAATTTTTTAATAAATAAAAATACATGAAAAAAAAAAAAATTGTAAAATAAAAATTCGGTCAAAAAATTGGTAGTTAAAAATTTTTTAAAATAAAAATTCGAATAAAAACGAAATTCTGTCAAATATTAATAATAAATAAACTAATAATAATGATAATAATATAATAAAAAAATTAATATAAAAAATAAAATTAATAGCAATAATAATAATAATAATAATAATAATAATAATAATAATAATAATAAATTATAATATAGAAATAAAAAATAAATTCCCTAAATATTTATTTTTAAATTACTATTAATTTACAGTAATGAGATT